GGTGGTGGGAGGGGCCTGCCCACGGGAACAGGGCTGCTGTCTAGTCAGCAGGCTGCTCTGGGGTTTGGACCCGGAGGAGGAGAGTGGTCCAGAGCGGCTGTTCAGAGAAACCCACAGGCCTGAGAGGGCAGCTGCATGGACTGTGGTGAGAGGCAGAGAGAGGAAGGAGCAGCCTCCAGCCCAGTGGCGTTTCAGCTCAGGTACACACAGGTCTCCTTATGCCAAGTGCTGGCCACGGGGGGTGCCCGGAGGTCTCTGTCCCTTGGCAATCCAGCGTGGTGACAGATTATTGTCATTACTTCAAGCTCTAAAGCACATCATGTTTATCCTTAACGGCATCAGCAATTTCCCCGTGTAACAAATTCCTAGGTTTTGGGGATGAGGTGGGGATGTCTTTGAGGGGCCATTCAGCTCACGGACCGAAGGGTCATGGGTTCGATTCTGTTGCAGGTTCGATCCCTGGCCCTGGTAGGGGCGCATGCAGGAGGCAACCAATCAATGTGTCTTGCTCACATCGATGTCTCTTTCTCTGTCTTTCTCCCCCTCCCTTTTACTCTCTCTAAAAATCAATGGAAAAAATAAAATATCCTCAGGTGAGGATTAAAAAAAAGTGGTCCTGCAATTTTTTTTTATCAGCAATTGAAAAGCATTATTTAATCTTCAGATTTTTTTTGAAAGGAGAGGAGGAAGGCCCTTCTGAAGACGCTGTGAGAATCTGTACTGTGTATGTGAAATGCGCTGACGAGGGCAGTGGTCACCCGTGTCAGCCTGGGAGGCGACAGGAGCCACGGCGGAAACCACAGAACACCCAGGCAAGTCCAGCTACAGCTCTGCCTAACCATGAGCTATTCTATAACGGGGACGGGCTCCAATCTCCAGTTCTCCTCACGGAGTCCACGCTGATGGCATGAAACCCAGGTTCATCTTTAGTGTGACATGTTTATTCTTCTTGTTATGCTTTTCTCAAAGTACATTTTGTAAGTTTAGTTCCACATTGCTGGCCACACACACTCCTCTGTGGAAGTGCCTTTCACACGGGAGCCATTCGATGTGGGGGAAGACAGGGACTCCAGCTAAACCGACCTGCCACCCTTCAGGCCTCCTGATGCTCTAGCAACCGGCCAGGGCAGGACCACACCTGTTGTTATGTCCTGTTGGTGTAGGAATCTCACCATGTGGGGAATTTTTACATGAGTAACTTCCATGAGGAACCAGTCTTAGGATTATTAAGTGTTTTTCTCGTTCAGTGACACATCACCCGAATATCCTGAATCAGACAGTCCAGCAGCTGAGCAGCCAAGCCTTGCTCATCAGCGGGGATGTAGCACGGGGTGGCTTTCATGTGACAGCCGTGGTGTAGGGTGCTTACTGTTCCTGCTCTGCAGGTCACTGCGGCCGGTCCGTGGGAGACCTGCTGTGCCGTCTGGGCTGAGGTGAAGCGATGAGAAAGACGCAGAGCAGATGCTGGTCTAAGGGAAGCAGGTTGCTGTCTACACATTCCCACCCGAAGGGAGACTAGGTGTAGTTTTCAAAAGAAGCAAGTAAAGAAAACCCACAAATCAAAAGGGGATTTCCTCCCCCCTTTAAAAAAATTACATGATTGAAAGTGGATAGAGAGATAAAAAAAATAATTTAGGAAAACGAACCGGTCTTCCCATATTACCCTCTCAAAGGTGGGAAGGGGAGGGCCAGGGGCTTTCCTGCAGCTGCTCCAGGTCGTTGAACCTCCTGCTGCACAAGGTGTTTTCTCCCCTCGGCCTTACCTTTCCGCTGAAACAGGGGTGAAGCGTGGCGAGAATGGGGCCATTCTTCAGTGTTTAATTGTGGGGATCTTCTGCCAGGAATTTGCTTACTCAGAACTATTCTTGTGACTTGCTTCTTTATTTACAGCTAGAGGCCCAGTGCATGAAATTCGTGCACTGGTAGGGTCACTAGCGGCTGCCAGCTGCCAGCTGGGTACTCCCTCCTTCCCCTGGCTGGCCCCACCCCCTGGTCGAACTCCCAGACAACTCCGTTAGAGGGGACAATTTGCATACTATGCTTTTATTAATAGGATATTGCTTGTATTTCTTAGTTTTATCCTTAGAGAAGTTTTGGCTAATAAAAACCCAGTTTGCCTCAGTTTGAAAGTTTGTTCTGATAAAAACAGAAAGCCCTTAAAAATCATTGTGTGCAGATTTTGTCTAACAGGTGAGACACAAAGCCATTTACTCAGGTTTTACGACACTAATCTCCTGTTTTATATTTAACAACAGCACATTCCATCCCAGAGATGCTCTGTCTTTTCAGCATTTTCCTGGTCACAGAGCAGCGTTCATCCTGGGGCTGCAGGGACTGCATGGGGCCTGCAGTCAGGCCATATCAGTTAGGTTTTGTCCGCAAGCAGCATGGAGGCCCTTGGGGCTCGGAGCGCAGACATGAGATCACTGTGGTGGTTAGTAATCTGCTCACAGCCTTTGGGCTGCATGAAAAGGGGAGGGACTGGTGAAAACAGAGTCTTCTGTAGAGACCACATAGGGCAGTGGTTCTCAACCTTCTGGCCCTTTAAATACAGTTCCTCATGTTGTGACCCAACCATAAAATTATTTTTGTTGCTACTTCATAACTGTAATGTTGCTACTGTTATGAATCGTAATGTAAATATATGATATGCAGGATGGTCTTAGGCGACCCCTGTGAAAGGGTGGTTCGACCGCCAAAGGGGCCGCGACCCACAGGTTGAGAACTGCTGACATAGAGGGAGTGGAGAGCAGGTTGGCTGAGCTCCTGGCAAGGCTGGTACGGGTGGTGCAGGAGAGGGATGGAGTGGACTTGAGGCCATTTCTAAAGGTTTGGGGACTGATCTCCTTCACAGGGTAACTGAAGGAGAGGAGGAGACCAGGAATGAGGGTTCAAGCTTGGAACACTGAAGAAGTAACAGGAGCAGGAACAGAAACCATCATGAGAGGGAGCTTTTTGAAGCAGAGGCAGGAAGTTCAGCTTCAGACACGCTTTCTGTGATGGCAGCAGGACACAGGCGTGCGTCAGTGCCACTTGGAAACCACTGGGCAGGGCCTTTAAAAGGGACTGGCCTGAGATGGACCGGTAATCACAACGTAGAAACAAGAGTGGTCCCCTTAGGGTAGATGCATTTCCAGTGAGAGCGTTTACAGGGAGAAGAGCAGAGGTGTGAGCACAGCCTTACACAGGTGCAGCCACGTCTGTGTTGTTGTCTTGTAACCCTCATCTGAGATGGCACTGCTCATTACGAGCCTACGTTAACAAAGATTGTTATCCATACCGTATCCCCAGCCCATAGGCAAGTACCTGGCACATGGGAAATGAAAAGCATCTATTGGTGGGGAGAGATGGAAAACAGTATAGAGGTTTCTTAAAAAATTAAGAATATTCTACCATATGGTCCAGCAAGTCTTCTTCTGGGTATATACCCCCGAATATGAAAATACTAATTTGTAAAACTATATACACCCCTATGTTCATTGCAGCATGATTTCCAATAACTATGATACAGAAGCAGCCTGAGTGTCACTGACAGATGATTGGATAAAGAAGAGGTGGCACATATAAAAATGATATATTACTCAGCCATAAAAAGATGAAATGTTTCCATTTGTGGCAACATGGGTGGATTGTGAGAATATTATGCTAAGTAAAATAAGTCAGATAGAAAAGGGAAAAACTGTCTGATTTCACTTTATTTTATAATAGTCGCCCAGTGCACAAAATTAGTGCACATTAAAAGGGGATTAATTAGAGGAAATATTTCAATATTGCTATTTGCCTTTTCTCTACAATAGAAGTATTAGAGATAAAAGAAAATTAATAAAATATATATAAAAATCTTCCTCCTGTCAGAGTCTGGGGCACGCCGCAAGACTCAGAGTCAAGTCCCCACCCACCCATGGTGCACCTCAAAATCACACGAGACCCAGACCCAACTGGCCCCACCCCCATTGGGCGAGATCCAGACCCAGCCACCCCCTTCCTTGTCAAGCCCCGCTGGGCAGGGGGCATGGTCTGAGATTCCCCCGTCAAGCCTTGCTGGGCAGGGGCTGCAGCCTCAGGTCTCCCGGCCTGGTCCCAGGAGGGGGGCACAGCCTCAGGTCCCCCGTCAAGACCCACTGGGTTGGGGGCGCAGTCTGAGGTCCCCGCTGATGGTTTGTTAAGGCTCATTAGGGGAACTTGACCTCTGCTGTGGGCACAGCCATCTTGTGTTACGAAAACCCCTCCCCCTTGGCTGTGGGTGCTGCCATCTTTGTGACAGTGTGATGGTCAATTTGCATATTCCCTCTTTATTAGATAGGATGTGGAACATGAAACAAAAAATAAATGAACAAAACAAACAAAGCAACTCATAGGTACAGACACCAGGTAGGTGGGCACAGAGGGAGGGTTGAGTAGGGGTCACATGCCTGTGGACATGAGGAAGTAGGCTTGGGTGGCGAGCATGATAGAGCTCACAGGTGCTGACTTCGAGCCCTGCACACCTGAAAGCAATGCTATTAACCAAGGCTGCCTCAATCAATTAAATGTAAAAGCATCTATGAATCAGCGACTGAATGAAGAAAGAATGTTCTCATGAATATTCAGATTTCAAACAGCCCCCAGTGTGGTCCAGCGGAGGGTGCCCGGCCCAAGGCCGGCTGCCCAGACCCAGAGTTCAGGGAAGCGTGTGCACCTCTCTATTGTTTCCCACTGCCGGGCACTGACCTGGGCTCTGACCTGGGCCTCTGGCTTGGACAGCTGCCATTCGATCCCTCGCAACTCTTGCTGACCAGGCCGGGCCACCGACTCGCGGCTCCAACTACCTTCCACCCTTCCACGGTGGGTCCACATCCACAGGGGGAGGAGGAGCTCTGACCTGGGGCTCTGACCTGGGGCTCTGACCTGGGCCTCTGGCTTGGGTGGAGAGAGGGGGTGAGTGGGGGAGGAGCTCTGACCTGGGCTCTGACCTGGGCCTCAGGCTTGGGGGGGTGGGGCAGGCGGGGAGGAGCTCTGACCTGGGGCTCTGAGATGGGCCTCTTCAGATGGGATGGAAGTCAGCGTGGCTTTGAGAGACGTCCTTTCACTTTTGCTTTCTCCCTTTGAGAAAATAGAGATTGTACGTGACTAAGTCACATAAAGATGAAGTTAAATGTAAGATACAACGCAGTTTTTCATTCCATCATCAGATCAATCACTAGAATTGACCCTTTGTTTATGACACAGTGAAAACAATCATTTCTGCCCAGGAATGAAAGATCAGCGGCCCTCATGCCCTTGCAGCGCTGGCCACAGGCACACTCCGTCCGGCAGGAGGTTGCCGCCCCTCCCAGGGCGCACCTTCCTCCCAGGGCGCACCTTCCTCTGGGGCCTGGTCCTCCTCTCTTGCAGCCCGAGGCTTGTCCTGATCTAGGTCTTTATGGCAAGAAGGTAAAATGACGGGAGAAGAGAGCGTTTAATGCCTTCACTCTGCTGTCTTCCCTGCATGACCTCCTGCGCCCCTCCCTCACCATTTGTCTGACCAGCTAAGCTTCCCCAATGTCAGTGCGTCTCACAGTGCACACCTGATGGTGTTCCTATGAGGAGAGAGGAGAGCCGGCTCTGGGAGGACACGGAGAGAGGGCTCCTTGGTGCTCCCAGTGCAGCAGGGCGAGCAGACACACAACATGTCCCTGCAACCAAGCGCTCTGGAGGGTGAGACGATGCTGTAGGACAGGTGGGAAAGGTGCCATGCTCCAGGTTACGGGGTAGAGGGAAGGGGAGCACACTCTCAAAAAGGAGGCAACTCTCGATTTTACAAAATGATGGGATTTTCTTTGCAGATGGACGAGGCAGAGAAAATAGCCCAGGCAGCGAGGCATGGCCAGTGGAAGCCTGAGGTGTGACTGCACAGGAGGAGGGCTGGGCGGGAAGGCGTGCGGAAGAGAGCGGGAGCGGCAGGGATGGGACCTGAGGGCGTTAGGCCTTGTTGTCTGATGTACACAGACACTGTGTGTCAGAGACGTTTCTAACTCGGAGGCCAATTAACCAGATGACTTAATTGAAGCCTCACAATAGCCACGTGTGTTGGACAAAGCGGCTGTTAGGTGACTGGCAGGCCAGCGAGAGGCGGGAAAGGCAGCGACCCCTGGTGCATTTCAAAGCAGAGACAAAGCCGCTCCAGCAGGTGCTGTCGCGTTGGGCGCGACGCTGTCCCAGATATTCCGTCCTGGCGCTGTCTGATTCCGGGGGACGAGAGACGGGCTCGGTGAGCTGGAGGTCGCAGTTCTGATTTAGCTGTTATTGGTAAATGTGAATTATCTAAAACATTTTGGTTTGAGAATTAAATATTTAAATGACACTTTAAAAAATACAATGTAAACTGATTGACTTATTCATAGATGTTTTCTTATTGGGCTTAGTATTCTAACCTCTGTTTGTGGTTAGAATACTGTGGTTAGAAGTGTTGTTTCAATGTCTAGGAGGTGTCTCTGGAGGAAAACATGGTTTTAACTTTGTCATGTTTAACATTCAACATTTGCAACTGCAGGGAAACTGAGCCAAGTCCTGCTCAAACCCCTGCCTGGGCCCTGCCCAAGGTGTGGAAGGGAAAGGCCACTGGAAATCAGACTGCAGTCTGGCCTCCGGTCCAGGCCTCAGCCAGTCCAGCATGGCCGCCCTCTGGGTCCGGGTTGGAGCCCCCAGACCTCCTGGGACTGGCCACCGAAGAAGCTGCCCAGGCCCCGACGGGGCCCCACAGACTTACATCACCAGGACAGAGCCTCGGGGAACGACTGTGCTGGCAGGTGAGCAGATCTCCTTTTTAACTGACACTGGGCCACTTATTCTGCCCTCTTTGAATTCACTGGGAACCTTGTCCCCTCCTCAATCTCACAGGCATTAGTCATCTCACCTCTACACTGCATCTTACTAGATACCCCCATTCACTCTTTCTCCTTCTACCTCAGTGCCCGGCCAGGGCCACCATGTACCCCTCATAAAGTCCAGTTGTCCCAAACCACAGTCACCTGCCTCAGTTTCACTCTCTCACCCACAAGGCTGCTCCATTCCTTGGACTGTAAATGCCTCATCTCCTCCATGACTGTCCCCTCCTCTAAACAGGAAATGGTCTCCTTTCTTGGGCTCGCTGGATACTTTCACCTCTGGGTTCCCAACTTTAGTCTCCCACTGAGCAAGGGACCACTCACTGAGCCTTTAGATCCCAAGGCCAGCATTCTACCCCTTTAATGCTCTAAAAAATCTGCTTTCACCTCAGCACCTTCTCACCCCTCCACCCTTACTTAACAGTCTGGCTACTATCAAAATCTGAACTCATTACTACCTAAACCTTAGCATGTTGCTCTAAGGAAAAATGTGGCAGTTTTAAATCTAAGTGGCTGGAGGCCTGGAAACTGCCTTCCTAGAACAGGCTGCAGGGCCTGCTCCATCTGCCCCCCTCAGCCTTTTCTCCAGCCTCAATGCCTATACCTAATTTTCCAAAATCTTCTCTGGCAACTTAAAAGCTTTGTAGCAATCCTGGTTTAAATGATAAACATCTAAATATTTCAACAAGTTTTAAGTTCACCTGATTTTAGCTTTTGTAACAGAAAAATCTGTAAAGTACATTTGGAACCGTTAATAGAATGCCTTGTGATTTGTTAAAGGTATGTTTCTTGAAAGTGAGAATGTTCATAAATGTCAGTAAGAAATGCTGGCTGTTTACTTTCTGGTTATCATTGGAAAATTCAGGTTTAAGAGTTGACAATAGAAGGCATAAGGCATGGACATGCATTCTGAAGGGAAAAAAAAGCGAGTTAAAGTTGTAAAATGTTTGTGAAAGTTGAAGGAAAAGGTTTGCAGAAAGTTATAAGAAGATTTGTGAAAGTTATAGGTTTGTAGGGAGAAATGTTAAAAGGAAGTTATATAAATGACACAGGCCAGAAAGCCAGGACAAACAGAGCAGGGAAACTGAGATAGTAAAACAGCTTTTCTGCAGCCGTCTAGAAAACCCTATCTTCCCCAAACCAAGAGCACTTAAGAGTAAATGATTTGAGAAAAACCTCATTTTGGTGTGTTAGATACAACTCTCCAAAACTGGTGTCTCTTTCCTTCCACCAGACCATTTGTCATAATTCTTGTTCTTCTAGCTTTTGTCCCAGTAATATTAAAATGTCTGAAACAGTCTGTCTCCACCAGGTTACACGCCTTACTTGTACTCAGAAAAAAACACCTCTCGATACCATCGTAACCTCCTTTTGTGCCCAGGCCTGTATCACAGGGTCTGGCAGACCCATCAGCAGATGAGGAATCTATAATAATAAAAGTGTAATATGTTAATTAGACCAGACAGTCGAATGACCTTCCGGATGTCATTCTGGATGTCCTTCTGGAAGAAGCTGCAGAGGCAGCGGCCGAGGCAGAGGTGGTTATAGGCAATCAGGCAGACAGGTGAGCAGTTAGGAGTGATCAGGCAGGCAGACAGAGAAGTTAGGAGCGATCAGGCAGGCAGGCAGAGGGGTTAGGGGCGACCAGGCAGCCAAGTGGTTAGGGGCAATCAGGCAGGCAGGCAGAGGCAGTTAAGGGCCAGAGGTCCTGGATTGTAAGAAGAATGTCTGACTTCCAGTTTAGGCTTGATCCCAGGAGTTCTGGATTGCTAGAGGGTGCAGGCCAGGCTGAGGGACCCCCCTCCCGTGCATTAATTTCATGCAACTAGTCTCTTGCATATATATATATATATGCAAAACCCTAATATGCAAATAGACTGAATGGTGGAACAATTGAACAACCGGTCGCTATGACTTGAGATGACCACCAGGGGGTGTGCGTGGAACATGTCGAGCGTCAGCAGCAGGCAGCAGAGTGCAGAACATGTTGGGCATTGGTGGCAGTGGGATGGTGGAGGAGGTGAGCTGGAGCACCAGACCAAGGCGGGGCAGAGCACCAGACCAAGGCGGGGCGCCAATCACTGTCATCAGGGCAAGTCTCTGGTGGTTACTGAAAATTCTTTGCTCCCATGTGCCATAGTCCCACTGGGTGCTCATACCTGCTGCTGGCACCAGAGCCGCCACTCATACCCGCTGCCAGTGCCTAGCACTGGTCCCAATCGCTTGGTACCATCAGCAGGTGCAAGCGGCAGCTGCTGGCTCCAATCACCCCTGAGAGCTTCTCTACTTCCCCCTGCTCCTGAGGGGCAATCCAGGTAGCAGCCACTGCTTGTACCCACTGATGGTGCTGGCCCCGCTTGCATCCACTGCTGGCGCTGGCCCCAATAACTCCATGCCATCAGCAGATGCAAGTGGGGTGGCACCATCAGCATGTTCAAGTGGTGGCAGTGGGAGCGGGGCTGCCAGCAGACAGGGGACCAGGGGCTGAGGCAGCAGGGGTGTGGAGGATGGGCTGAGACCCACCCTTGTGCACACCACAGCCTTGCAACCCACAGTTCCTTTCAAGGTACATGAATTCGTGCACTGGGCCCCCAGTGCTGAGAATAAAGCCCAGCCAGAATGTAAGGGACATACCTGAGTCCTGGGCCGCAGAGGCGAGCTGCGGGGACTGGGGACTTGTTTATTTTCATCGTCCCCTCCTCTCGGCTGCACCTTGTTGAATTTCATTGTCAGCAACTTGGACATTGGAGACGTGGTTCAGGAAATTGCTATTTTTCTGAGCCTGTCTTCAGGTAGAGAAATGTCCTTTGTTTTTCTTTTCATTACAAGACAAGCCAATTAGTTGTTTAATCCGATTTTGTTCTGGGTAATTCTTGGAGGCAATCGTCAGGGCTGTGGCTTAAGAGCAGCAGGGCACGTCTGCTTGGGCAATCTGATCTGTGTTCGTGGACTTGAGAGAGCCAAAATGCCCTGAGAATATTTATAAGTAGAGGATTGAATAAAACGTTATCCTTGATCTGAACGAAATATGATCAAATTGCTAACTGGTGTATTTTTTCTTTCTCATTATCCATCTCCGTCTATCTCATGGTAATCAAAGTAACACATGCAAATGATTAAAAAAATGGAGCTTGCACAAAGTCCTACATGATAAAGCAGCAGGCACTCACTCCCAAGGGCCCAGCTCTAGTCCTGCCTGAGAAGTAGCTATTGTTTCTGCTTTCTGTTCTGGCGGCATTTTTCTTTTTTCCAGGCCTCGGTATTTTATCGTTTGATTAGATTAATGGGCTTCTTAAAAATATGATGAAAAGTGAGACCGATGGCTTCCCACTGTAGGTGCCCAAATGCCCTGCAGGTTGAGGAGCCTGCACCGGAGTTAAGCAGGGCTGCTCAGCCAGCACCACCGGCCAGAGACTCAACAGAAACGTGTTTCTCCAGCGCTGGAGGCTGATGCCTGAGGCCTGGTGTCTGCAGGGCTGGTTCCCCCTGAGGCCAGAGGGAGGGCACTGTCCGCCTCGCTCCCTGTCCTCACACCGTCTCCCTGGGCCCGTCTTCGCCCAAAGGCCCTCCCCCGAGGGCGGTTGTCCTGGAGTGGGTCCCGCCCCAGTGACACCAATGTGGTGACATCCAGGTCCTGTGGTTAGCACCGAGGAGCCCACTCAGCCAGAACTGGAGAGAAAGTGTTTGGAGAAAATCATTTTTCTTACAAGTGTATGATTCTCTTACAAATCACTGAAGTAACATGAAAGCCATATATGCCACTCCTTGTTGTGCAGATCTACATAATGACAGTTCCATTGAATTATTACTTTCATAAATTGTGAAAATTACCTGCACTCCTACCCCGCAGGGGTCCAGCAGGAAGTAAACACAGAAGGCATTGCCGTCCATTGTGACCAATGGGGGGAGCGCCTCACAGGCGGACCTGTCACTTGTCCCCCCGCGGCGCCTGTGGGTGGGCAGAGCCGGGCCGGGTGGGCAGAGCCGGCCAGGTGGGCAGAGCCGGGCCGGGTGGGCAGAGACGGCCGGGTGGGCAGAGACGGGCGGGAAGCCCCGGGGACAGACACCCCTCCTCACCTGCGTTTCCTCGGTTCTGCCCAAAGCACGCGGCGCACCGATGCTCCCGCAGCCCGGCATCCCCCTGTGCCGGCCTGGGCGAGGCTCCGCAGTCCTCCCGCCACGTGCCGCCACCCGCACTGTCTGAAGGCACCGCGTCTCCATGGCCTGGGACCTCCGGGAAGCGGGTCTCCCTGACAGGAGGGAGGAAGGGAGGCCATGTCCAGCAGCCGCCCGCCCTCTGGGACTAGCAGCAGCCTCGGCCAGCGCTGTCCAGCCCATCGGGCTTTTCTGCAATCGGATGTTCACGTTTTATGCTACATTTGCAGACAGGCGTTAGCTGTCCAGTATGGAGAAGGCGGGTGTGCTCAGGGGCTGGAGAGTAGGCCTCCCGCCAAAGGGTCCTGGGTCCGATTCCCAATCAAAGGCATGTAACCTGGGCTGCAGGTTGGATCCCTGGCCTTGGTCAGAGCGCATTTGGGAGGCAACCAGTCAAGGGGGCTCTCTCACATCAATGTTTCTCTCTCTCTGTCCCTTCCCTCTCCCACTCTCTCTAAAAATGAATGGGAAGATATCCTCCCTAAGGATTTCCAACAACAACAAAGATACCAGCAAGTGGAGTGTACCCCTCATTTCAGGCTGGGATGTATTTGCATATTATTCCTATAAAGTCATTCAAGTCGATGCTGAGGGTCCACAATACAGTTCCCACTTAATAGGAAGCAAGTTTGAGAAGTGCCGCTCCCTCGGAAGGAATGCTTAGGGCGGGTTTCAGACATCCCACCCGAGGGAGATTTTGGGTGCAGAGCACTTTCTAGAATCTTCTGATACGTAGTCAGATGCGTTATCCATTGCGCCACTGGCCCGGTACCAGAGCACTTTCTAGTACGTCTCCAACCACGATTGCTGGCATGGGCTGCACTTCCTTTTTTGCTGGAAGACTATTGGAAACAAACTACCAGCTACGGGTGTATTCCCCCTGAGTCTATGAAAGAAAGCAACATTTAACTTACTCTTTGAGATCCTTCTGAATTAAATTTTCAAAATCTGAATATTAATGGGAAAAGAGCGACCACTGAGTTATAATGGGCGTTTATAGCAGATAACCTCAAACAATAACTTAAATCAAAACAGTGAGAAGCTGTTTTCCCCAGGTTTTGGGGGAGTTCTTTTTGCAGGGGAAGATGAGAACTTGGCCACTGGCCACTCCGCAGCGGTGAACGGCAGGGCAGTGGGTACTGAGAGCACTTCCCACGGTCAGACTGGAGGGAGCGCCGGGCTGGGCCGCTGCGGGCAGGTGCTGGCATCTTCTGAGAGGCAGAGGCAGACTAGCAGGCCGGGGCCTGGGAAGGCTCCCCGGGCTCCTGGATTCAAGGTGCGTGAAAAGCATCTGCTCAGCAAACACTCAGGAATTACCGGGTAACACAGAGGGTGCTTCTGACGGGCACTACATTTAAAATACTCTGCTTACTAAAGCACACGATCGCATCGAGCACTAAGCACTTGAGGTTTTACTGTTAGGTCAGGGGTGGGCAAACTTTTGACTCGAGGGCCACAATGGGTTCTTAAACTGGACCGGAGGGCCGGAACAAAAGCATGGATGGAGTGTTTGTGTGAACTAATATAAATTCAAAGTAAACATCATTACATAAAAGGGTACGGTCTTTTTTTTTTTTTTAGTTTTATTCATTTCAAATGGGCCAGATTCGGCCCACGGGCCGTAGTTTGCCCACGGCTGTGTTAGGTGCTTGCTAGCCGCCGTGGGGCATTCAGAGATGACCATCACATGCCCAGGGACACACAGATTCTTGAGAGAGAAGAGGCATCAACAATTACCATTCGGCGTCGGCCATGTAAGTTGTGAGCACTGTCCTCTAGCTGAGAAGAGCAGGTGGCCGAGTGTGCCCAGGGGTCAGTGCACAGCAAATGAGAGGAAAGCTGAAGCGGAGTTAATGCTCATCACAGGCTGCAAGGAGGAGGGACTCCCAGAGACCACGTGCCACGGTGGGACATTCCAGACACCGAAACATAGTCCTGTTAGTTACCCGTTAGCTAGTTACCATATCACAGTGAGCGGCAGGCAGTGCGGCCACACAGTGCCCTTCGCAGGCACACAGCCAAGCCTCAGTAAATTACTGGTGAATATCAACAGGAACTAGGAAGTACATACACAATTTTCTTTAAACTAAATATGAACCATAGTCCATATTGCCTCCAAAAGTAACCAAAGACACTGATTTAATGTTCTTTTCATTTTAGCAAAACACTAAGTTCAAAAAGTAAATATCCAATAAAACTTCCAAATGTATTTATTTTGCTTGAGTTGATGACATTGAAGGATCTTACAAATGGATTTATAGCAACTCATACTTAGCGACATTTCCATCATAAAATATGTAGCACAGTATTTAGAAGTATTTGCCAGTGGGATGACAAATTTAGACTATTTAGATGTTTTCAGTCACCTGCAGGTGTAACGGGATTGGATGCAATGCCACTCAGCTGACGTGAGACTAAAGTGATTTTAAATATAGTATTTCAGTAAGTAGAAATGCTTATTGCTTTCAATTTATAATTAAAATGTATGAGCAGTGAATGTAACAGATATTAAGGGTGAAAATGCCTTCAGGAGATTGTTACTAACTAGTGGCATCTGTGACTAATGAATGCTATATTGGCTTAGACTGTGACTAATAGAATAAATGTTTTGAAAAAATCCTTATGTTAGTATTTCATAAACATAATCCAATCGTGATGAACTTGTTGCATGACTATTGGGGGGTAACTACGGAAGTTTCTTCATTCTTTTACATTTTTTCACTAAGTTGCTAGGCCTGCTTCAGTGTTTGGTTCCAATTATGGACTATCATTGCTTATTTATTGATCTTTTATCATCCAGTGAGCTAATGAAAGCACTTTGGTTAATTGAACATCATGATCTACTGTTATGTAAGGAGATTAGAAGTGCATTTCTCAAAGAAGATTGTCTATATACAATTAGCTCTCTGGCTAAGCTGCTTTCCCCTGGATTTCCCCCTGTATTCTAAATTTATCAGTGATTGGAACCTAATGTTTTAGGAATTTCTGAGCTATACCAAGGCGTTCTTAGTCTTGATGAAAAATACACCCAATTGCTAATGAAAGTGGTTGTTGGTTTATGATAATAGCTGTTGGTCATTTCAATGTGTATCTCAAACGCCAATGTGTGTGAAGCAAATATATTGATCCTTGATCCAATGTGAGGATGTCATTGCTTCCCAACACTCGCATTGACCAACAGTGAAAGCTTTATTTCACTTCTTAGGCCTGAGGGATACAGGTAATATAGAGCAATTTGAAAGTCTTTGGAGAAGGAGTATTATTAGTTCTTTAGTTAGAAGCCAGAGTCTATTTCACCTGTAGGTTTGAGCCCCAGATTCCTACAGTCCGCTGGGGTTTTACTGATCAATCTACTTAAAAACAAATTTATCTTCTTTATCCCCAATTGAGTAGCTTCTTCCTACTTCCTGTTTTATTAAGGTGCTATCACTCCTTTAACTTCCCTTATGCTTAGTTCATGGATGAGCTATTCCTTTCTTTGATTCTTCCTGCTGCTCCCTGTCCTTCCTTTTTCCTTCTTCCTTCTCGTTCGCACCAGCATGTCTGAGCCCTGGAGCAGGCTTTACTCTGTAATGACTTTGGGGTTGGCCAGAGGAGGTGGTGAGCAATGCACCTGGAGTCCAGATGGCT